GACACACACACACTACACTACGCCGTATTCATTGTCCACAACACACACAAGAACTAACACAACACAAGCACTATCACACACACACCACCACAAGACACTATGATCACACACACATCACATCAACACAACCCACACACAACAACAACAAGACACACGCAACACACAACAACCAATCACGACAACAACAGGATGATCCTTATAACCTTTTATTCTTACCACCGCGAACAACTAAGCATCACACATCACACACACACACACCATCACACACAGCACACCACACACGACACACAACGACACACACACACACCACCCACACGCACCACACACACACACTCACCACCACAGCACACACCACGCCCACACACGATTCACACTACACACAACACGCAACTACCACGCAAGATACACATTTCTTGACACACACACACACACAGCACAACACCACACACAAACACACCACACACCACACAACACACACACACACACACACACACACACACACACACACACCACACACGCCGTACGCCCAAGACTGATAAATTGCAATTTCGATGCTAATGGCTCCGGGAACTTAAAATACATAGAAATGTTTGAGTTGGAACACTATCTTCCCATACCTTTTTTCAGCCGATTCCCTAAGTGAATTGGAATTCTTTGGAATCCTCTTTTAATGAAAAAATAGGTCTGTCGTAGAATCACCGGCAATCTGCATTTAAAAAGGGAAGTAATTTGGGCCCATTTCTTAACCAATATGGGCGTGATTAAATTGTTACAAAGCGTAGTAGGGGAGCGAAAAACCTTTTGTGGGAATCAAAGGAATGTTCTTTGAAAACCCTTTTTTTTTCAAGTGAGACTTACATTTTACTTTCGGGGAAATGAAAAAAAAAAGGCATTGGCAAAATTTGCAAATGACTTATTTCAGTGGGATTCGAACCCGTGCATTTGAACTGAATGGAACAAATGACATGAAAGCCAAAAAAATTCGGCTGCCTTTTAGCGAAAGTCAGTGGAACGTTTGAAGATTTTTCAGAATCAGGAAATTGCCTTGCAAGCAAGTTCTGTAAGTACAAGCAAAAAATATTTCGGCTCACCTTCTAATCTCTGCTCTCTCTCAACCCTCACAATCCGAATCTCTCTCTCACGCGTTGTCTCAGATCTCTCTCATCGTCTCGTCTCTCTCTTCCTCTCGATCTCTCCCTCTTCTCGTCTCTCTCTCTCTGTCGTTTTGTCTGTTCATACTCTTATCCTCATTCTTCTCTCTCTCTGTCCGAGTCAACTGCCTCGCTCTTGTTACCGTCCTTTACGTGTCTTCCCCCTTCTCTGGTCTTTACTTTCTCTCATCCTCATGTCCTTATTCACGAATCTCGTCATGCCTCATCTCTCCTCGTCTCTCGCTCTCTTGCCATCGTTCCCGTCTCTCCGGCATCTCTCCTATTCATCTCTCTGCTCGTCCTCTGCCCCTCCTTCTCTCTCTCTAATCTTCTTTCTCTCCCATCTTCCTCGTCTCTCTCTCTGTCTTTTTGTATCTGCCTCCTTTCTCCTATATCTTTACCTCCTTCATTCTCCCCCCCATTTTATCACGCTTTTGAATTACCTCCCTAGGGCTTATTGGTAGTCTATAGCAATTATCTGCCATCGTTTAAGTTCTCGCCATTTCTTTGCTCCTTAACATTTTGGCCTTTCCTATCACTCCTGCTCTTGTCTTCTGTCCTGTCTGCCATCGCTATTATCTCCTCGTTCCTCTCTCGAGCTCTTGTCAGCTCTTTTCTGCTCTGCCTATCTCTTCTCCTTCGGTCCCTTCTCTCGTCTCTCTACCCCCATCTCTCTCTTCCTCTCCTCTCTCTCTCTACTGTCTCTTCTTTCGTTCTCTGCTCTCTCTCTCTCTAGCCTCATTCTCGTCACCTTCCATCACTCTCCTCTCCTGTCATCTCGTTTCTCTCTCTCTCTCTCTCCTCTCTCCTCTCTTCCCATCTACTCCAGTCTCCCTGTAGCGCGTTGTACTGCTCTTGAGGAGTCGTAGGTTTCGATGTAGGTACGGTGCCGGTGTTTTGATCCTGTCTCAACTCTCTCTTTCCTCTTTCTATCAGTACATTACTTCTCCCTCTACTCGTTCTCAACAAGTGATCTGTCTGATTCGTCCACTCTTTACTCTGATCCTCCCGCTCCTACCTCTTCTCTCCCTTCTTTCCCTCTCCCTTCTCCGTCTTCTATCTGCTCTCTCTCAGCCATCGTTCCGTACTCTACTGCTTTCTCGTCTTCATCGTTCTTCTCCCTATCTCTGGTCTTTAAACCTCTTATACAGTCTCTCTTCTCTCGTCTCGATGCCTCTCTCTCTCCTGTCCTTTTTTGTCGTGCCCTCGACCTTTCTCTATCGGACGGCATAACATTATATGACCCTAATTCTCTTCATTCTTCTCCTTCTCTCCTTTCTTTCCCTCTGTCTCCACTAGGTTGCATTTCTGTCTGTCTGCTCTCGCTATATTTCTTCACTCCCTCTGTTCCCATCTCATTATTCTCGTCTGCTCGTCCGGGACTCGTCGTCTTCTCTTCTCTCTCTTCTCCTTCTCTCCTCTCTCTCTCTCTCCTCTCTCTCTCTCTCTCTCTTCCTCTCTCCCCACGCCCCTCATCCGCGGGCTGGCCGCCTCACCGCGCGCATCTTCTCTTGCTTGCTATTTTGACAAGCCATTTCCTAATCTGTGGTCTAGCCTTCACGCGGCGCGTATTTTGATTAGATCTTTTATGCTTGTCTTTTGTTATCATTATACCTCAGTCCTCCTCAGCATACACATCATAGGTTTGACCGTTTTGAGATGTGGCCTGTTGCCATCGCTTGCCGCACCTTTAACTGCGAGCCATTTTTAGTTTCTCGGCACACTAGTTTTATTTTCTAGATTATCATTCATGGTCTGCCTCGATCCAAAAAAAAGAAATAGAAAAAGAAAATCACATTCTCTCGGTTTTCTGAGGTGTCCAGGTCTAGGTTACGTGAGCAAGCTCGCTCTTTTTTTTCTTAGTTTTAATTCCATGGAAGCTCTATCAAAAGAGCAGCAACATGCCAGTCGTTGCTTCTGAAGAAAAAAAATTTCTTTTGCGCCTTATTAGCGCTGTTTTGAATACCCTGAGAATCGAGATCTGGTTTTTGCGTGGGTTTTAATCTCGGAGGTTTGGCCCGTGTCGCAAGATATGTCTTAGGAATTTTCTGTGACCCATTTGTAAATGAATGAATACTAGTCATCAACATGGCGATTTAACGACGTGTCTCCTCTTATGTAAACATTAGCACTGTAAGATACCTAAGAACTTCATTGCCAGAGCATCGTTAATCATTGGTTGACACGTCTCGCGACGTTTTACATTTGGACCATCGTGTTCGGCGGTAATTATCTGCTTATTCTTTTTTGTGAACGCGAGATGGATGAGGGGTACGATCCATTGTGCTTTTTCGAAGTATCAGTGTAAAAAGCTTCGAGTTCTTGCAGTGCCGGCGCTGGTTGGCGTAAGTTTGGATTAAAGGATATTGCTTTCCAATTAGACTATGATGGACTTACTGTTTGAATAGGCTGAAGCAATACGCGACTTTAGCCTACGATTCCTTTTGCAACCAGCAAAGATGTAGACCTTTTCGTGCTATGCAGTAACAAAAGCTACGTCATCGTACACCAAAGTAAATAGAAATTTACAAAACCATCCATGCTCTGTCGCATGAGCCTTGTTTTGGTAATCGTACCAAATACCTAATCAATTTCTAAAGGTCTGACGGTTTTCCATAGCTTTCCTTTCTGAGTAGAAAGTGCTAGACCAATTCTGTGCTACCTCAGAACCTAACGATGACCAGCATTTAATCAAGATTAACATCATCGGGCGGTAGCAGCGAGTGTACACCCACCTTATAGTACTCGCGTTGAGCAGTTGGGCAGCACGAGTGTATTACCGCGATATGCCGGCTGATCAGAATGTAATGATTATTGTGGCCTTTCTTTTTAACGCTCTCAGTGTCCTGTTATTTATTCAAGATCACTTTTTTTTCTTCATTGCGTTCCGGGGTTCGCCCCCGTGAACCCCCCGAATGGGGGATGTCTACTACGGTACTTTCCATTGCTTAAGGATGGTCCGGGAGAACAAGCTTTTTAGCCAGAGAGCAAAGCCTCCGCCCAGATTACACGCAACGAATCAAGTAACGCTATACTATTGGAGCGGGCATAATATTAGGCTATATGGTATAGAATAGTAATCTCCTGTAACTATATATGCTCTAAGAGTAACGTATGATATATAAACCAGAATAATAATTTTAGAGAGACATACAATATTATATTAGTAGCATTTATATAATATCATATATATCACCTATATATTGCCTGTAGTATATTATATATTTATCCTATTTTATTTAATTTACATTCAGTTTATACTATATACGTATATATATTTTACTCGGCTTTTCTTATACTATATAAGTTATAGCTACAATATTTATATATTCTCATGCATAATTATATAGTTATGCCAATAAAGCTACGATATCAATGATTACTAATAAATAGATAGGTCCGCACACCCTTCCGACACGTCATCCACACCACAATCTTCTCTCTTCTCTTCTCTCTTTCTTGCTCTCCTCTCTCTCTCTTCGTTCTGCCATCGTACTCTCTGTGCTCTCTCACTCTGTTCCTCTTCGACTCTCACTACCTCCCCTCTCTCACTCTCTGCACTCCAATCACTCCTATCAAGAGTCACTCAACTCACGTCACCTCCCACTCACCCCACATCGCTCACATCTCCTCTCAACACACACATCACACACTACATCTCCTCTCTCTCCTTTCTCATCACTCTCAAACTCACTTGCATACTCACGTCATCTCTTCAATGCAATTAAGTCTGATGTCCTTATGTTAATTCTTAAGCAATATTAATATTGTTGATGTAATACTTTACCCATACACGGGTGAATAGACACAAACTGACAGGTATAAATAAATACCAAGTCATGAACCAGCAAGTGCCGGTACTATCTGCCATATATCTGGAAAAGAATGAACTGTTTTCATTACTCATTGCAGCATATGCAGAAGTCTTCCTCCATGTCTGTTCTTGAGGTCGACTAAGCTGTTACAGCATGCAGGACATCTGAAAACCATGGTGGAGCACCTGACGGTATGTCATAAAGGAATGTAATAAGGAATGCATGTTCAGTTGCCTTTTTTCCATTGAATATAATGTGTTGTTGGGTGATTCTCTGTCCGAGTGACGAAGGAGCCATGTAAAGCATATTCTCAAGATTATTTTCATTTTCAGATTGCAGGGCAGGATCTTCAGATGAATCTCTGTGACACAAGTTTCCTATTAACAGCCTTGTTTCATGCTGCCTCTGATTATGGTGTTAAGAATATTCAAGTCCAGCAGTGTCTTGCACCACTCAGGATGGCAGTTTTGGTAATGCAATGTGTAGTTTAGATTATTTCCTGTTAACAAAAAAAAAAAAAAAAAAAAAAAAAAAAAAAAAAAACTTCTAGTTGATATATTGGACTGATATGTAATGATAGCTTTAAATGTTAATCTTGTTAAAAAATGTTTTGTTTATTCTTTCATTTGCAGTACCACTTTGAATCTTTAAAGAGTATCTTCAAGTGCCACACAGAAGTTATTGGAATGCACAATTGCTTGCAAGAATTTTGGAGTTTCCTCAAATGCACAGATGTGATAGATACCAGTGAAGTGACACCCCAGGAAGCTGGTATTAGATGTCTTGCCCTGCGGCTCAAATCCGCTGGCACTAACCTATCTAAGATTTCTCCAAAGACAATTTGCTACTTTAGGTGGCTTTTAGCATACATAGGACAGCAGCAAATTTATGGCAGGTTGCCCTTCTTTCCTGACCCAGAAAGCACTCTCAA